GCCTGGCGGGTAGCCGGCGCAAGCGTTTTCTGTCCTCAGCAGCGAGTATCCGCTGATGGGCCACGGGAGCCCAACAGCGGCCGCCCCCGAGGGGGGGAGGGGCTGCGCCAGCAGCAGCCTGAAAATGATCCCGGGTCGAGGGTTCACAGGACCCCCCCAGGTGGGATGGGCCCCCCAGGGTTCCACGGGACCCCCCCCCTGGATGGGATGACGGGGCGGGGCGCCAGCGCCGACGCCGACGACGACGACGCCGTGGCCGACGACGACGATGACGACGGCGAATGCGACGGCGACGGCGACGGCGATGGCGACGGCGACGCCGCCGCAGCCGCCGCCGACGCCGACGCCGACGACGCCGACGCTGCCGACGGACGACGACGACAACGACAACGACGAACCGCCCCACACCCAGGGGGAGGGGGGGGGGCACCGGCATGCTCCACCACGCCGCGCCCACAGGGCCACGACCAAGAGGGGGGCGATCCCATTCGCGAGACCTTCGCGAGGCTCACGGGCGTAGTCGTCCAGCGGGGAAGGGGGAGGGCTCGCTCCCACATGCGTGGGGGAGGGGAGGGGGCAACCCTGGATCACAGATAGCCTGCGCTGACCGGGAGAGCCGCGGCGAACGCGGCGGCGGCGTGGACAGGAGTGAGGAGCAGGAGGACATCTGGGTCGGACGAGAGCGAGGATAGCAAAAGAGGCTGGCGAATCAAATTAGCTCGCGTAGCTGGTCTTCCCAGCGGTTCCGCGCTGAAGGCGCCCATGTGTCGAGAAACGCGCCTGGCGGCATGGACGAAACCACGGGCTGCACGAGGCAGTTTTCGCACCCCCCCATGTCCCTTTCCCCCTGTTCTTTCCGTCCGACCCGAAAAGAATAAGGAGCCCACATACGCGACGCCCTGGCGTTTTCAGAATGGGGCCCACGGAAACCCCAACCCTTTCCGCGGGACCAGTTTATTTTGTTGTTTTGTCGGGGAAAACCCGCGATGATGAAAATTGCCGGCTTCCCACCTGATGGGGAAAGGACTCCACCATGCACGTACAGGCTGGTACGAAGCAGAGAGAGGACGGGAAGAGGGAAGAAAAATACTGGATGCGTCCGAATGTTCAGACGGTATGCCCAAACCACATGGCCGCCTGACCGGTTTGAACCGCTTTGTTGACGGCCCCGAAGCTGGGCAGCGGCCCCATACGACGAACAAGAACCGACGAGAAACCTCCCAGAATGACCTATCGCGTCACGAGCATATCTGAGAGCAGGAGGAGGGTCAAGGATTGGGTCGGGCATGTCCCCTACAGGAGGACCTTCGAGAAACAACTAAAAGCCATGCACACATTTTCCGCCCCCCTCCAAAGAAATTTCATACATATCAAAACATCGTATGCATTATTTGTTTAAAAAAAATCCTCATGCAGGGGGATAAGCCCGAATCAAGTCAAGCAGTTGGGGCGAAGAAAAAAACATCCCGAGGGCGAAGGAGGCGGGGGGCGTTTCAACACTCAGGCGCCCCAGCCCGGCGGCAGCAGGAACGGCCGCCGAGGCCGCGGCTTGCCGTCGCTCTCCACCTTGGGTTTCGCATCTTCCTTGGCGGCGCGCACACAGCGGGAAGGTTTCTTAGGGGGGTGCTTATTACACGGGGCCGGCCTTGTATCTATAAATCAAAGAAAACGCGTTTCAGGGGCGATCGCCTGGGAAACATTCGGCGCCGCGTTTCGAACCGGGGGGGGGCCCCCCCAACGCTCGGCGCCGTGGAACAAAAACCAGGGGGCCCCCCTGCCCCCAGACCCCCCCCCCTCCCGAACCCCCCCCGAATTCCTCCCAAGAGGGGCGGGGGTTCGACCCCCCCTCCCTTGAGCCGACGCCGGCGGCCGCCAGCAGCGCCGACGGCGGAAACGCAGCGACGATGACCAGAGGCAGCCTAAGGGGGGGGGGTCAACCCCCCCTCCTTGCGCCGGCGGCGGCGGCGGCCAGGAGCGCCCGCGCTGGCTCTGGCGATGGCGGGGGCGCAGCGACGATAACCACCACCACCACCACCAGTGCCACCACTACCACCACCACCACCGCCGCCTCCACCCATCACCACCACCGCCAACCCACCACACAACCACCACCACCACCACCACAGCCACCACCACCACAACCAACACCACCACCACCATCGCAAGTCACCATCACCACCACCACCACAAATACCCACCGCCACTGCCACGGCCACCACCACCACAATGTACGACGCCGCCACCACCACCGCCACAACCACCACCACTGACCGACCACGGGCGATAATAATATCCGGGGGCTAATAAACTTCGGGGGTCTGGCGGGGATAATCAAGGACTTTCCTGGGGAAGGTGAAGTTAAGACGACGAAAATGAGGACAGCGACCATGATGATGGTGATCATGGGCGCTCGGCACAAGACTGACTCGAAAGATCTCGACGCTCGTGGCTATACACTGGGCGCCCGGCGCAAGACGGATTCGAGAGACCTCGAGGCTCGCGGCTACACAACTTGCAAAACCAGGCCGTCATCTTCGCTGCATCAGTGCCTGGCGCGCCCGGTTGGCATTGGCGCACCCCGGCATTCGCGACCTTGCCCGCGATGAGCGCGAGCTCGTCGAGGATTGTAGCGTTCTGCTCGGCCATGCGCTCGAGGATCTCGTTCGAATTCGGGCTCGCGCTCTGGGCCACGACATTCCTGAAGGCCTCGACCTGCTGGTTCGCCGCCTGGGCGCGCTCGGCGGCCTGGTTCATGGCACTGGCTCGCGACGCACGCAGGGGCAGCGATGTGGGAGGGGTAGGCATTGCGGGGGGACATCGACCTGGAAACGGCGATACATCACTGATGCATCGGCGATGCGCGCCCGATCGTGAATCCGCACGTTCCTGAGCAGGTTCTGACAGGAGATTTATGCCTACCCCCCCTATCGCTGCCCCTGGGGAGAAGAGGCTCTGCGCCTCGAAGAGGCTCGAAAGCTTGGAGTCTCGGAGACTCGGGGAAGCTCGGGCCTGGGCAGCTGCGGGGGTAGAGGAGGAGGAGGAGGGGGAGGAGCAGGAGGAGGAGGAGAAGGAGGGGGAGGAAGGGCCACGAACTGTGTGAGAGATGCGGTAAAAAAGTAAGTAACTCCAATGCTCTGCCTGCTTGAAGAACGCATGTACAATCAAAATCCAATCGGTCCCCATGGCCCGGCCACACGTTCATGACTCGGGAACGGCTGAGAAAGTGAGAATGCCATGGCCCTGCCGCACGTTCGTGACTTGGGAAAACTGAACTGGTGAGAATCCCACAGCCCTGCCACACGCTCGTGATTGCGGAAGCTGATAGTCTGAAACCACCATGGCCGTGCTCTGTGCTTTTGCTGCTGTTGCTCGTCAACAGGAGATGAAAGCAACTTCGACTCGCCACTCCCCCCGTGGATTATAAAGTTCGGCCTGCGCGCCTATCTCCACAATTAAATCCGATTGAACGGGGATAAGGGGAGGTATGGCTTGTTATCGCCCGCACGGGGTTTCCAGCAACACAACCAACCACCACCACCACCACAAACCACCACACCACCACCACCACCACCACCTTCACAAACCACCGCCGCCACCACAACCCACCACCACCACCACAAACCGCCACCACACCACCACCAAATCACCCAACCACCACAAACCACCACCACCACCACCACCACCACAACCACCACAAACCACCACCACACCAGCACCACATCACCACCACCACCACCACCACCACCACCACCACAACCACAACCACCACCAGAACCACAACAAACCACCACACCACCACCACCACAACCACCACCACCGCCGCCACCACGACAACCCGTCACCACCACCACCACCGTCGTCCTCGTCGACGCTCCCCGCCGCCGCCGCCCGCCGCCGCAGGCGCCGGCGCCAGCCCAGAAAAGGACATCGTCGTCCCCGCCGCCGCCGCCGGCCGCCCGCCGACGCAGGCGCCGGCCCGAGGAGAGAGGACCCCCCCCCCCCTCCGTCACGGGAGGGGGGGGGGAGTTCCTCTCCCCCCGCCCCCTCCAAGCGACCACAGAACGCGCTCTCTCATAGCTAAGGGCCGCGCCTTCTAAGAAAGAGGGTGTTCCTTCGAAGCCCCACCCCCTCCCCGTACCCCCCGCTGCGCGTGGCCGACCCTCGCAGGGTCAGGCAGCGCCGCATCGGCAGGTCGGATCGACTCTACACGTGCATCCGATCGGGCTGCATCGCCACGGAACCGCAAGCGAGTCGGACCAGCTGCTGAAGGGGCCCCAGGACACACAAATAAATACACACAAATAAAAATATCCCCCATATTTTCCTATATTTTCTGGGTTTCTGTCTTCCCCCCCACTTCCAATGTTTTCCTATATTTTCTGGGGAATCGACGATTAATTGTGTCTGTGTTTTTTTTCCCTCCTGAGCTGCGCCTGGCTGCACGAAAACGCCATGCGAGCATCGGGCCGCAGCGGATCGACGGAATATCGGAGTCGGACCGAAGCGGACCGGGCCGGCCAGAATCGACCTGGAATCCGACCTGTCGGATCGGAATGGACCCTGCGCTGTGCCCTCCCGGGGTGGAGGCCCATAGACCAGAGGAAGAAACCCACAATTATGAACAACGATTTCCTTGGAGGTCCGCGCGTCGGCGCTGGTTCCACCTCCCTGGCGCGCGGAGCGCGTCGGCTCTAAATTCCGGAGGCAACAGGGGGGCACGTGGCACTTGACCAGAGATTTCGCCCCGATTTCGAGCAAGGACGCACGGGCGGTGCTCGACGAGCCGAGTTGGAGCCCGCGACTGACAGAAGATGGCTTCCACGTTCCGGGTCGAACAACTCAGAGCCAGCGTCCCAAGATGCCCCTGGATGAGCCTCCATCGGAAAACATCGGGAAAGAAGATCGAGACGAGATGGAAGTGCTCGAGCCACTCTGCAGTCCAGTCCGCTGCCCTGCACTTTCTCGCTGCTCCGCCACCCGAGCGCCTCTTGCACCTCGTTCTACCGCGCCGACTCCCGGGATGGTGAAGATGCATCGGGTGATGACGTGCGCGACAAGGAGCGAATTAGCATGGGGGAAACGGGTCCTGGTGGAAACGGGTCCTGGACCATGGGGCCCTCCCCTAGGGCGAGATCTGCATCCTGAGCCATGTTCTGACGGTCCTGGGGCCCATGGATGGCCCTGGGAAGCCAAAAACGGCGAGAAACCACAGGAGCCGTTCCCCTCAGGACCCGCTTCCCCCATGGCGAGAGGAGGTGGTGGGCCTACTCTGAACAGCCGCCACTGTAGACCAGGGACGGCTGCCATGTACACACACACACACATACACACGCACCCTCTCCCACCCACCCGACTAGCAGCGACCCGAGCCAATGCCGACCCCCACACACACACCATTCCTTCAAAAACAAAACGAAGTGCACTTTGCACCAAAATCTGGATCATGCGCGACGCCCCGCGATCACTTTGCATAGGTGTTTTGACAGGGACGGCAGAGGTGTCAGCATATTGCCTGCTGTGTGCAATGCCTACACCCCCCGCCAGCCCTTGGAACAAAAAATACGAAGTGCAGTTGGCACCACACCAACATCCGCAGAACTTGTCGGCGTGTGCGAGGGGCTTCTCCATTCGAATCGTTGTTCTCCGTCGTCCCCTTTCCCTGCCCCCTGCCCCTCAAGCCTGTTAGCTTAACAAAACCGACCCATGTCGTTAGAGTGTCGAAGGGATGCCCCTTCCCTTTGATCCCCTCCATATCGGTGGGGGGTCCCAGGGGATGTGGGGGGGGGGCAGATACGCATCCTCCCCAAGGGTCTCGGGAAACATACACAAGCGGACCAAAAGTGGAAGTGGCCCAAGAGGCTTCCGAAACGCTCCAAAGGAGCCCCCACTCGCGACAATTTCGGCCCAAAATGCCCTCACTCTGCTCCAATCAACGCGCCAAACGAAATAGCGTGCCCAGACAGGGACTCGAACGGAGCTTTGGAACCGCCGGCCCAAGAGCCTCCCGGGAGGCCCCAAGAGGCCCCCTAGACGCCCCCAGGAGGTTCTCACGAAGACCCGAGAGGCCCCCAGGAGGCTCCCACGGAGGCTCTCGCAGATCCAAGACGCTCCCAGGAGGCTCCCAAGAGGAGCCCCCCCCCCTGCCTCCCCGCCCGCCCGTTCCATCTCCTGGTCCAGGGGGGGGCGGCAGACAGCCTGCCGCGAGCAGGCCCACCATCCCCGTCGAGGCATCGCACACAGTGCTCGCAAACCCGCCGTCACTTTGTGGTGTTCCTCCTCTTCTCCTCCTCTTAATCCTCCTCCTCCTCCTCTTACTCCTCTTCCTCTTCCTCCTCCTCCTCCTCCTCCTCCTCCTCTTCCTCCTCCTCCTCAGGGGACAGCTCGGGACGTTGGCGCTTAGGGGGGGGGAGTTCGCACGCGTCCCAATGTGGCGCACCTGGTGCGCGGGGCGCCCCAGCCGTGGACAGCGCACCTCCCGGGCGTCGCGCACCTGGCCGGCGTCTGCATCGGTTCCGGACGGTTGTCGATGGCGGCCCCTGCCCTACAACAATGTATTTAGTTGCGGGAAGTGGCCCATTTGAAAACGAGCGTCTGACAATTCTCACAATACACCATTCCTGGGACGTCAACGCTGCGGATCACCGTGAATATTCCGTCCTAGAACACCACTCCTGGGACTTCAGCACCGCGAATCAACGTACCTGTTCGCACTGACATTCGTAAATCGCACCAGGACGCCATTCCTGGGACTTCAACCATACGAACCCTTGAAACAGTCGCAAACGTTTTAATACAAATGTGCGCGGCGCTACTGCGAGAGCATCATTGTGAAAAGGAGCCACCCTCCATCGTTGGAGCTGCTGTAAGCTTGAAAAAATGAGCGCGGCACTGAAGCCAGAACCACAGTTTGAAAACTACATGTACACCATCCTTGAAACTGCTGAAACAAATGTGCGCGGCGGTAAGGCGAGAATCACATGTGAAAAGGACGCGCCCTCCATCAGTGAAATGTCTGCAAACTTTGAAAAAAATGTGCGCGGCGCTGAGGCGAGAACCACAATTACAAACCACCTGCCCTCCATCCGCGAAGCTGATGCGAAATTCAAGCTTCGGGATCATAAACGATGGGGAAGTCTCAAACGAAACACCCAGCCCTTCCCACCGACACGTCTGGGGGTGCCACAGGGAAGAGTTACTTTTCCGTCGCCGTGCCCCTGCGGCATGAAGTGGAGTGTCCCCAGGCCCCCCCCTGGGACTCAACTAGGGGAACGAAAAGTGACATAAACATAAAAGCTCGGAGGTCCGCGCGGATTCCTCGGATCGGCGCTGGGGCCCCCTGGCGGCGCCTCCAGCGCCGCCCCTGGCGCGCTCCGCGCGCGAGGGAGGGGGGTCCGGCGCCGATCCGAGAAATCCGCGCGGACCTCCGAGTTTTTATGTTTATGTCCCTTTTCGTTCCCCTAGTTGAGTCCCAGGGGGGAACCTGGGGACACTCCTCGGATCGGTGCCGGACCCCCCTCCCTGGCGCGTGGAGCGCGCCAGGGGCGGCGCTGGAGGCGCCGCCGGGGGGCCCCAGCGCCGATCCGAGGAATCCGCGCGGACCTCCGAGTTTTTATGTTTATGTCACGTTTCGCTCCCCTACCTGTGGCATGAAGTGGAGTGTCCCCAGGCCCCCCCCCTGGGACTCAGCCTTCAGTCCTGAGCATTCCTCTACGGGCCCAGGCCTCGAATTTTGCCGGACTTCTGCGGCGCGGCGCGTGCCCCCTCTGGGTCCGGGAGCGTGCTCCCGCAGCACACCTTTGTGGCCAAGAACCCAAGAGTAGACGAACAAAAAGCGGCATAAACAGAAAAACTCGGAGGTCCGGGCCCGTAGAGGAATCCAGAGGACTGAAGGCTGAGTCCCAGGGGGGGCCTGGGGACACTCCACTTCATGCCTAGGGGAACGAAAAGTGACATAAAGATAAAAACTCGGAGGTCCGCGCGGATTTCTCGGATCGGCGCTGGGGCCCCCCGGCGGCGCCTCCGGCGCCGCGCCTGGCGCGCTCCGCGCGCCAGGGAGGGGTCCAGCGCCGATCCGAGAAACCCGCGCGGACCTCCGAGTTTTTATGTTTATGTCACTTCTTGTTCCCCTAAAGAGGGCCTCAAGACGGGCCAAGAGACCCGAGGCCGCCCAAACGGCCTCAAGGATGCCCCGAATCGCTACACGATGGGTCCAAGACGCTCAAGGTGGCCCCAAGATGGCCCAAGAAGCCTTCGAGACGCCCCGAGAGCCCCAAGAGCCTTCCCGAGAGGGCCCCAAGAGGCCAAACTCACGATTGTTCCGTGGGCTTTCAACTCACAACCATCCTGTGGTGTTGGGTCCTCGTTTTGAAGAGACAGCGCTCCTTCCTCCTCCTCCCCTCCTCCTCCCCCCTCCGCAGTTCGCATGCGTCACTCCCACCCAGTACAGCGTTTCACGGCGGCAGAGCGAGCTCCACAGAAGGCCCCAGTGGCGCAGTCCGCATGCGCCCCCCCCCCCTAAGTACAGCGCTTCTTGGCTCCAGAGGGAGCTCTACCGAAGGTCCCAGTGGCGCAGTCCACACGCGTCTTTCCCAACCAATAAAACGTTTCGTGGCCCCAGAGGGAGGGAGCTCCACAGAAGGCCCCGTTGGCGCAGTCCGCATGCGTCCCCCCCCGCCCAGTACAGCGTCTCGTGGCCCCAGAGGGAGCTCCAGCGAAGGTCCCAGTGGCGCAGTCCGCATGCGCCCCCCCCGCCCAGTACAGCGTCTCGTGGCCCCAGAGGGAGCTCCAGCGAAGGTCCCAGTGGCGCAGTTCGCATGCGTCCATCCCGCCCAGTACAACGCTTCGTGGCCACAGAGGGAGCTCCACCGAAGGTCCCAGTGGCGCAGTCCGCATGTGTCTGTCCCCACCCCCCCCCACCCAGTACAGCGTTTCGTGGCCCCAGGGGGAACTCCACCGAAGGCTCCAATGGCGCAATTCGCATGCGTCCCTCCCCCATCCCACCCAGTACAGCGTTTCGTTGCCCCAGAACGAGCTCCACCGAAGGTCCCAGTGGCGCAGTTCGCATGCGCCCCCCCGCCCAATACAGCGCTTCGTGGCCCCAGGGGGAGCTCCCCCGAAGGTCACAGAGGCGCAGTTCGCATGCGTCTTTTCCCACCCAGTACAGCGCTTCGTTGCCCCAGATTGTTCCACAGAAGGTCCCAGTGGCGCAGTCCGCATGCGTCCCACCACCCCCGCCGATTACAGCGCTTCGTGGTCCCAGAGGGAGCTTCACCGAAGGTCCCAGTGGCGCAGTCCGCATGCGCCCCCCCCCGACACACACGCGCGCCAGTACAGCGCTTCGTGGCCCCAGGGGAAGCTCCTCCGAAGGTCCCAGTGGCGCAATCCGCATGCGCCTCTCCCACCCAGTAGAGCAGTAGAGCGTGTCGTGGCCCCAGAGCGAGCTCCACCGAAGGTCCCAGTGGCGCAGTCCGCATGCGCCCCCCCGCCCAGTACAGCGCTTCGTGGCCACACAGGGAGCTCCACCAAAGGAAGGTCCCAGTGGCGCAGCCCGCATGCGTCCCCCCCGCCCCTAAGTACAGCGTTCCGCGGCCCCAGAGGGAGCTTCACAGAAGGTCCCAGTGGCGCAGCCCGCATGCGTCCCCCATACCTCAGAGGGAGCTCCACCGAAGGTCCCAGTGGCGCAGCTCGCGTGCGTCTCCCACACCCAGTACGGGTTTGTATGGCCCATAGGGATCCCCACGGAAGACGATGGTTGGGTTCTTCGCCAGGCTAATGTGTTTAGGGTTCTCGACTTATCGAGCGTCCGACGCTCCAAAACGCCCCAAGAGGCCCCCAAGACCGCCAAAAGACGGCCCAAGAAACCCCCGAGAGGACCCCCGGACTGTCCAAGAGGCCCCAAGACGGCTCAAGAAGCGCCCACTACGGGCCAGAAAAGCCCCAAGACGGCCCTGCGAGCGAGAGAGCCCGAACTGATAAGTCGAGCCTGCTGTCCCAAGATGCCCCCAGGAAGCCAAGCCCCAAGAGGCCCCTAAGAGGCCCCCTATGTCCCCAAGAGGCCCCAAGAGGTCCCCCAAACATCTTAGAGGCCTATGACCCACAACCCAAGCACGGTGGCGGATGGGCCGAAGGCCATTCGTTAAAGAAAAGGGCTTGAGGAGGAGGAGAAGGAGGAAGAGGAGGAGGAGGAGGAGGAGGAGGAGGCGGAGGCGGAGGAGGAGGAGGAGGAGGAGGAGGAGGAGGAGGAGGAGGAGGAGGGGGAGGAGGGAGGGGAGGTAGGAGGGAGGGGGAAGGAGGGAGGGAGGAGGAGGAGAGGGAGAGGAGGGGAGGAGGAGGAGGGGGAGGAGGGGGAGGAGGAGGAGGAGGAGGAGGTGAGGAGGAGGAGGAGGAGGTGGGGGACGGGCAGGGAGGAGGAGGAGGAGGAGGAGGAGGAAGAGGAGGGGGAGGAGGAGGAGGGGGAGGATGAGGATGAGGAAGAGGAAAGCGAACAGGAAAAGAGGAACGCTGTTTTCTTGTTTTCCACAATGGGTTTGCGAACGTCACCTTCGTGTACTATTGGTTCTATAGCCCCTGTATTGTTTTCTTACGAGCGAACGGCGTAATTATGGGTTTCCGAACCCCCTCTTCGTGTACTATTAGAATCAGTGGGCTTCCGAAACTCATTTTCGTGTACTATTAGCTTTATAGCCCCGTGTATTGTTTTCCTATCAGCGAATGGCGAAATTGTGGGTTTCCGAACTCAGCGAAAGGCGAAGGAGGAGGAGGAGGAGGAGGAGAAGGAGAAGGAGGAGAAGCAGGAGGGGGAGGAGCAGGAGGGGGAGGAGGAGGAGCATGATGATGAGGAGGAGGAGGGAGGAGCAGGAGGAGGAGGAGCATGCGAAGGAGGAGAAGGAGGAGCAGGAGGAAGAGGAGGAAGAGGAGGAGAAGAGGAGGAAGAGGAGGAGGAGGAGGAGGAGGGGGAGGAGGAGGAGCAGGAGGGGGAGAAGGGGGAGGAGGGGGAGGAGGATGGGCCGAAGGCCATTCGTGAAAGAAGAGGGATGGAGGAGGGGAGGAGGAGGATAGGAGAAGGAGGAGGAGGAGGGATAGCAGCAGCAGCAGCGGCAGCAGGGGAAGGAGGAGAGGAGGGGGAGGAGCAGGAGGGGAGGAGGAGGATAATGAGGGCAGGAGGCAGAGGAGGAGGAGGAGGAGGAGGAACATGAGGAGGAGCAGGAGAGAGGAGAAGAGGAGGAAGAGAGGAAGAGGAGGAAGAGGAGGAGGAGGAGGGGGAGGAGGAGGAGGAGGAGGAGGAGGAGGAGGAGGAGGAGGAGGAGGTGCGGAGCGAGGAGGACAGCGAGCACGAGGAGGACCAGGAGGGCGAGGAGGGCGAGGAGCAAGGGCAAAGGCCGAGGTCGCCAGCGCAGGATCCGCGGACGTGCGCCACGGCGCGAACGCTACAGTCGGACTCGATTGGACAGGACACGCGAGAGGACACAAGACCCTTCCGAGGGCCACATCTGATGGGTCTGTTTTCCACCACCACCACCACCACCACCACCACCACCATAAGTTGGATTGGTGGAAGGAGGAGGAGGAGGAGGAGGAGGAGGAGGAGGAGGAAGAGGAGGACCCCCTCCCCCTCCAACTTCTGGTGGTGGTGGTGGTGGAGAACAGCCTCATCAACATCGCCACAGGAATGCAGGAGGCATGGGCCGCGAGACACAGGACACGAGGGTACCCTCGATTTGGCAGGGTCGGCCTACGAATCCGGGCCGACTGTGGCAAATGCAGGCAGTGCAACATGTGTGATGACTGGCTGGATGTTCGAGTCGACGAGAGAGGTCGGCATCGTAAAGGCAGACGACGTCACGAGGACAGACGCGAGAAGCTGGAGGAACGGGAGCAGGATGGGGTCAGGCAGAGCGAGGGACAGGAAGGTGAGGATGAGGAGGATGAGAATGTCGGCAGCGAAGACGAGGAGCAGGCGACAACAAGGACGAGGACGAGGACGAGCACCAGGAGGAGACAGAAGAGAGAGTGTCTGCGGACGGAAGACTGAGCGGCAGACTCGCGCGGAGGCTTCGCAGAATGAAAAAGCCGCATCCTCCTCCTCAGACTTTGCATCGAAGTCATCCTCCGTCTTTGGATCTGTGCCTTTCTCGGACTTGGCATCCTGACCACCTTCCAATTTGTGGTGGATGCCGTTCTCGTGCTTGAACTGTTTCTCGTCCTCAGCCTTGACCTTCCATCCATCCTCTGCTTTCAGCTCCTCGTCATCCTGTCGAGACAAAGACCGGGCACACTCCGATTGCCGATACAGTTGCATGGAATGCATAGGCCGTGCTGAACCCTCATCCCTTGTCCCTCCCCATCCCCCCCTACTCGCTCCTCCCCTTGTCGCCCCTCCCTCCTCCCTGCGTGTCCCCGTCCTCCCCATCCTCTCCTCCTCCTTCCCTCCCTTCCCCCCTCCTCCCGTGTGTTCTCCCCTCCTCACGTCCGCCACACCTCCCTCCCTCCCCTTTCCCTTGCAGAGTGGACTTTCGGAGTCTGCGCCGTCGGCGCCTAGGAGTCGCGGGATGGCCGCGACAACCTGGCTAGGATCGCACGTGGCTGGTGCCCGCGGCGTGAGGGGGAACCCGAAGACCGATGAGGAAGCGCTGTTCCTTTCGAATGTGGCTGAGGCCTGTCAAGCAGCCAGCATCTCGCCGAGGCCGCATGCTGGGGAAGGGAGGGTCCCGTGTCGATGCTGAGTGAGCCAGGGCCAGACGAAGGACCCAGTTACGCGGAGCAGTCCTCTCGTGAGTCTCTCATCCCCTGCTTCGCGCGCGGTGTAGCACTACTGCCCTCTGAGTAAGTGGGCGGCCCGCTGGTGAGATATAACATTACGGCCCACTGAGCATGTCGTCGTTGGCGTCAGCTCTCGGCGAGATGGCGTGGTGGACTGAACCACGTGACTGGCTTGGAACAGAATCCCTCATTTGGCACGCCTCAGTCCAACAGGGAGCCCTGTTCAAAATGGTTACGAACTGCTGTTGGCCTTCGTCAACGCCCCTCCCCCCCTCCTCCCGCCCTCCTCTCCTCCTCGCACTTACCCGACAGGTGTTCAAATGTTTGGCAGCGTGGACCCTAGGCAGTAGCGTATTGCATTGTGGATGTGTAAGCTACTTGGTGCCAGAGGCTAAATGGTGTAAACTACGCGGTACCATACATGTGGTGCAAAGTGTGCGGTGCAAGCTATGCTGTGCAAGCTTTGTGGTTTAAGCTATGTGGGGTATGCGATGCTTGCTACGTGGGGTAAAGTGCACGCTGTGCGGTGCGGAGCAGGCTGTGTCGTTGAAAATGTAATTCGCAAGCTGCGTGGTGCACGGGCTGGAACATGGCCGAATCCTCGGAACACCCCCACAGGCGGCAACGGGCGGCAACGGATCGGAACTCGGCGAATCTTTTGGACACCCCCGCAGGCGGCAACGGGCGGCAACGCCAGAACGTGGCGAATCTTCGGGACACCCCCAGAAGCAACAACGGTTGGCAACGGGCGGCAACGGAGGACACCCCCACAGGTGGCAACGCGTGGCAAAGGAGCGGCTGGCTGGCACATGGCGAAGCCCCGGGAAACCCATCCTCTTCCGTGGAAGCGCAAGCAAGAGCCCCTCCTCTTCACTCAAGTATTCGATAATTCCACATCACGAGTACTAGCCTCACCTCTCCCCTGACTCTGTCCGGAAGGCGTTCGGCCCTCTCCGCGTATTGTTTCTTATTCGCAGGATCTCGAAAAAGCGTGTTCGTCCGATGGGTTCGCTTACGATCCGATTGTTTCCGCTGTGTTTCAAAATTGTGTTGCCGCTGCCCCCCAGGCAGCCTTTCAGGATCGGCGCTCTGCTCTCGTCGTTCAGATGAAACTGTCGCCCCAGCGCGGGCCGCTTGTGTGGATCCGACGCTCTCTCCATACTGTTACTGTTGCTATCCGTCCTCGTCCTCATTTTCCACGTTGTCCTCCTTGTCCTCCTTCTTTCCCTCTGGCTCATCGGCCTCATCCCCCTCTTGTGCGCAGCTCCCCTTTTTCCGATTGCGCAAATCACGGCGGTTTCTGTTGGGAGCTCCAGGTTTTCTATGACACGCGTCCGCGGATAGCGAAACATCATCGCAATGGAACAATGGGGGGGCGGGCCAGGATGTCAAATGTGAAGCGAGAACACAAGGTTTGATACTCCCCCGAAAAAGGCCCGGGAACTGCCCGCCTTTTTTTCCGGGTACCACTTCCGATCCGTATTTCGCATCGTGGTCTGTCCTATGGCGGTTTTCAATCGGAACGTTTTCGATGTCTCAAAACGGCGCTGCCGGTGCAGCGCGGGCTCATTTCAGGATCGGCGCTTTGCCCCCGTCGTTCAAAATGGTTTTTGTCGCCCTAACGCGGGCTACTTTTCTGAATCCGAATCCTTCTCATCGTTGTCGCCCCCACCGTTCCCCTCGTCCGTTTCCCCTTGGTTTGCCTGCTCCTCCCGCTCCTTCAAGCCCAGTTCCCGTTGCTGTTCGAACGTCGCCTTGTGATTCACAAGTCCGCGGGTACCAAATTAAGTTCCCATGCTCGGGCTAATCGCGGGGGTGGCGCCCGCAGAATTGAAACACAACGGCGGCGACGCCGGTGATTAGCGCCGACGCCTGGCCGCCAGCGAGAAGGCGACAGAACCAGCACAAACTGGAGGAGGGGGGGGCGGGAGGCAACGGCGGCAAAAGCAGGGACCGTGAGCCCGGGCGACACCAGTCGGCGTTCGCCCCCGGACTTTCCGTGTGTGTTTTTGTCGAACCAATGTTCCTTTTTTGCCCTGGCCGCGAGCAAAGCGGGCTGGACGAAGCGGGGGCGTGGCCAAGCGGGGATTTCCCAAGCAGGTCACATTGTTGATTTTCCGAACGCCTCCTGGCACCGAGCGCGGCCATGCATCAAGGACTGGCCCCTCGGCGGGGCGACCGAAACCACTTTCTCGCAACAAGTTTCGCAGGCCGTCTTTCCTGCCTCAGCCTGCCGTCCAACACATGCAAGGCGGGCAGTCCTCCCCCCCCCTCTGTCTTGGTCTGTGACTAGTCGTCGACGACAACGAAGACACAAGGCCCAGTGTAATCGACGGACGACGACGACGAAGACGAAGACGACGACGACGACGACGACGACGACGCACTGCGGATGCCCTATGGGGGGCGGGGGGGGTGCTGCGCAGGCCTTCTGTAATCGACGGCGGCGACAACGACGACAACGACAACGACGACCTGCGGATGCCGCATGGGGGGTGGAGGGCGCTGCGCACGCCCACTGTATTCGACGACGACGACGACGACGCCTGAGAAGGGGAAACAATGCGCGTCGTGTGTATACGACCCCTCTTACAACTTCTATTCGACAAGGCAATAGTTTTGAGGCTGTCATGCAGGGGGTACACGATCCCCTCGGCGGTGCCCGCACTGACCCCCTGGCGCGCATGATTCGAAAAATGTGTCGCGCCCCGCGGGGTCTACCCATCAGCGCCCAGAGAGGGGCTCATTTTCAATCACAAGCTGGTATTGGGTCCTCGTCCTCATCCTCTTTCCTCATCCTCCTCTTTTTCCTCATGTTCATCCTCCCGCTCTGCCACCTCGTCCTGTCCCTCCTGTTCATGTTCCTGCTGCTGTTAAATCTGTTCCTTGTTCCCCCTCATCATCACCAGCAGCATCAGCATCATCATCAGAATCCTCTTCCTCCTCCTTTTCCTCCCCCTCCTCCTCCCTCCAATTTGCGCAGTTCCCCTTTTTTCCGACACGCATAACACGATGGTGTCGGTTGGCTAGTTCCAGGTCCACTATGACACGCGCCCACGGATGGAGAAACAAACAGCACAATGGGAAGGGATGGGTGGCAAGGATAGGATGTCAGAGATGGCGCGAGCGCACCTAACTGGCTTGTTGCTGCATCCTCTCCCCCCTCCTCCCTCTTGTCCTCTCCTCCCCTCCCCCCCTCTCTCTCTATCTATATATATATACCTATAGTTATCTATCTATCTATCTATCGATCGATCTATCTATCTATCTATATACCTATATATCTCCTCCCCCCTCTCCTCTCCCCTCCCCATTATCCCCTCCTTCCCTCCCCTCTCTCCTATCTCCCTTCCCCTCTCGGCCGCCATCGCAGCAGCGCAGCAGTGCACCCGCGCCGAGGCCCAACGCCACATCCCCAGCCTGGAGCAGCACAACACGAAGGTATTACATGTTTTTAGGATGGCTTCGCGCGCACACCGAAAGGGCGCGAGGTCCACGCAGAGAGAAACGGCAGTGACCGACACGACGACGACGACGACGAACGCCAACGGCGAGGACGCGAACGACTGGCGAACGAGCGCAACGACGACGGACGACGATGGCGACGCGACGAACGACAACAACCGGCTACCCGCAAGGGGACGCACAACACCGCCCGCACAGAAGCCGTGCGCCAGCCCTCGGCGCGGCGCTTGGGCACATGGTCGACACAGAAGACCTGACCTGACCCTGTGCAGGGGAGGAGGTGGAGGAGGAGGCGGAGGAGGAGGAGGAGGAGCTGCAGAGCCAAGAGCATGAGGGGAGACGAAGGAGGAGGACGGGGAGGACGAGGGAGGACGGGAGGGGGACACTGGCTCGGCGTGGAGGAAGAGGGGGGGGGAGGAGGAGGGACTCAGTGCGGGGGCGCTGACTTGGAGTCGTCGAGGCACCGCCGACACATCGGCAATGGGGCCTCGACGGCCTCGACAGCAGAGCGCCACGCTCCTGCCCGGGGCCGGGGGCCAGAACTCGCTCGGCGAGGCATGGGCGAGCGGGGGTCGAAGCGACCCCCCCCTGGAGCAGCAACCAAACTCGGCCAGACCCTCGGGTTGGGCCCAGGCAGGGCTGAGCCTAAACGGTGTTTTTCGCTTTCGTTTTGGTTTCGTTTTCCCTCGTCGTGTCTACGATCCGCCTTTCTACCGCAAAACGAGATCTAAACGAAAACGGCCCACGAGATCGCCAAAACACCGTTTAGGTCCACGCCTGCCCGGAGGCAGGCCCTGGGGGCAGGCCCGGGGGGGGGGGGGGGGCTCCAGGAGCACGCCCAGGGCAGGCCCCAGGAGCCGGCCCAGGGGCAGGAGCAGCGGGGGCACGGGCCAGGCTGAGCTGGGTGGGCCGAGGTCAGCCTGGAGTTCAGCCTGGCCGAGTCGTTCCCTCGATCTGGCTCGAGGGGTGCCGCAGCAAAAATTGCGCCCAGAACTCCCCTGGTGAGTCCTCGCGGTGCTGCACAGTTTTCGCAAAGTCAGACCTCAGGGTTCGTCACCGCCGTGACTCGTCGTCGCTCGTCGCTCGGCACCGTCCTCGCCTCCGTGGCCCTCTTGGGGGGTGCAGCCGCGGCGACGCGCGTGCCCTGGTCCCTGGGCTGGCCGTCCCCCAGGGCCAGTTCTCCCCCTGCAGCTGCCACGAGGAGGGGGCTAGAACACCCCCAAGACTCGAGGGATGAAAAAACTATCCTACCCTGGGTTATAAGTGCGTGGTCTGTAGACCTCCTGGGAACCCTGAACGCCTAGAGCCGCCAGGACGCGGCATATCACACAGGGTTTGCCCTGTCAGCCCACAGGAGTTTCAGCGCACAGCGCCTCGTAAACCAGGGTAGGGGCGTTTTTTCTGCCCTTGAAAGACACATCTACTGGTGCTGCAGCACCCGGGTCCCAGCCCCAGGTCCCGAGTGCCCGTACCCAAGTCCCCTCCGCGCAAGTCTCTGCAAGTGTTGCTCGTCACCTCGGGGAGTGGCAGAGCGCTCCAGAACGCTCTCAGAGCGCTCCCGCACGTTTTGAGAAGGCCGCGGCGCCCGAGGCATCCTCCAGAGCCGCCAGATCCCAGAGATTCTCGATGTCTCCTCGCCCTCTCTCTTTTGCCATTGATCCTCGCTGGATACCGATGATCGTCCCCTCCTCCTCCGCCTCTCTTGCCATGGAAAGAAGAAGGCCCCAGGGTCAAGCGCACCTCCCCGCAGAGAACGAATCGCCACGGCCATTCTTGAGCCAGGTGTGTGGGGCACAGGTGCTCTCGCGAGGGAATATGCCGCTCGAGCGATGTGTCGCAGAAAGGTGGAAGTGGACGGCTCCGGTGATCGCGACGCGAAACCTCGGAGAAGGGGGCGAGGATGGCCCCCTCCTCCTCCTCCTCCTCCTCCTCCTCCTCCTCCTCTCCTCCTCCTCCTCCTCCTCCTCCTCCTCCTCCTCCTCCTCTCCTCGTCCTCTCCTCCCCCTCCCCCTCCTCCTCCTCCTCTCCTCCTCCTCCTCCTCCTCCTCCTCCTCCTCCTCCTCCTCCTCCTCCTCCTCCTCCTCCTCCTCCTCCTCCTCCTCTCCTCTCCTCTCCTCCTCCTCCTCCTCCTCCTCCTCTTCGTCCCCCTCCTCCTCCCCCTCCTCCTCCTCCCCTCCCCCCCCCTAATTACCCCTCCTCCTTCTCCTCCTCCTGCTCCTCCTCCTCCTCCTCCTCCTGCATCGATGTTCTCGATGCTGTGATGCCTTCGCGACGCGAAACCTCGGAGGAGGGGGCGAGGAGGGAGTTTGCCGCAGGCGCTCCTGAGGAGCAGTAGACCAAGAATGAACCGATGGCGCAACCGGCATGGAGGGGGAGGAGGAGGAGGAGGAGGAGGAGGAGGAGGAGGAGGAGGAGGAGGAGGGGAGGAGGAGGAGGAGGAGAAGGAGGAGGAGGAGAAGGAGGAGGAGGAGGATGAGAAGGAGGGGGCGGAGGAGGAGGAGGAGGAGGAGGAGGAGGAGAAGAGGAGGAGAAGGGGGAGAGGAGGAGGAGGAGGAGGAGGAGGAGGAGGAGGAGGAGAGGAGGAGGAGAAGGAGATGGAGAAGGAGGAGGGAGGAGGAGGAGGAGGAGGAGAGTGAGAAACGGAGAACTGCTCATCTTTCGAAGGCTCCCGCGGATTACTCGGGTCGGCGCTGGGCCCCCCTCCCCTGGCGCGCACGGGGGGGCCCAGCGCCGACCAGCGAGATCCTCGCGGGCCTCCACAAGTTTGACGTTTCTGCCAAATCCTCATGACATTGCGGAGAAGGGGTCTCGGTCGAAGCGGGTCCTGGAACAGGGGGCCTCCCCCCAGACCAGCCTTTCCTGTGAGCGCTCTCTCATTCGGCGTTTCGACAATTGGGCGGAAAGGGGGTGGGGATAGGGGTTGTGTGCGTCCTGTCGGGGACCTGCTCGAAACAGGCGCCAAAAGTAGCCAAGATGTACTCCAATGGGGGAAGATGGGGCGGTGTGAGGGCCCGCGCCGACCATCCCGAGCCGCCTTCTTGTCTGCTTCATCCCGAGCTGTCTTCAGAAGGCCCCCCCGGGGCCTGGGCTCCGGCCTTTTCTGGGCGGCGCGCACAAGGGGGTGGAGGGAGGGGGGAGGGCTTCTCAGAAGGAGGCTGCTCCTTAGAAGGCGCCAGCCTCGCATCTGTAGATGAGGCCCGCACCTTTCAAGAAGCAGGGGTGCTTCTAGGAAGCCCTCCCCCCCACACTCCCCTCCGCGCGTGGCTGATCTTCTGGGGCGCCTTCTGGCCAGACCTTCGAAGCCTCCCGGATGCCACGAGAAGGCGAGACGCAGCCACACACTGCTGTGCTGGCGCGGCGGGGCCGCCCCGCTCCCAGCAGGCGTCGAGGGCACAGGGGCTGCCGTCACGACTGGGACCAACCACGGGGGGAACCCCGTTGCGAACGCAGATGAGGAGGAGGAGGAGGAGGAGGAGGAGGAGGAGGAGGAGGAGGAGGAGGAAGAGCAGGGGGAGGAGGAGAAGGAGGAGGAGGAAGAGGAGGAGGAGGACGAGCAGGGGGAGGAGGAGAAGTAGGAGGAGGAGAAGGAGGAGGAGGAGGAGGAGGAGGGGGAGGAGGAGGAGGAAGTATGGTATGGTATGGGTGTGGCCTGCCTCCAGCAGGCAAGGCGGGTGGGCCCCCTCAACCCGTGAAGGTTTGTCTGCCCTTGAGAAATTGCCCCTGCCCGTCCTTCAGGCCCTCGTCCTTCCGCCGTGCCCCTCTCTCTGTGGAGGGCAATTTGTCGGCCTGCCCCTTGGGCGGGGGTAGATTCTCGCTGAGGAGGTCCTTGTGCTCCTCTATGAACTCCAGGGCCTGGCGAATGCGGACTCCAATCGGCCTACACGGCTATACACAGCATCGGTGAACACCGAATCGAGAAACATATGATCGAATCGAAATGTGCGTCGAATTGGGCTACGTCGGAACGTTGGACTCGCATCGGCTGCGCCCCGATGCGCAACACACTGCAAACACCGCACTACGTCGCGAGAAACTGGATCGAACCGGCCGGAATGGATATCATGTAGGATCGATCGGATCGGTATAGACCCTGGCGGGAGGAAATACTGATGGTAACGGCTTTGATCGTGATGGTGACAGCGATGGTGATGTTGACGATGACGATGACGAAGGCGGCAACGATGATGTTGATGGTGATGGTGGTGATGATGGTGGTGGAAACGTACAAAATATTAGACCTTGGCAGGGCAAGCACAACAACAATTGTGCTAGACAGAGATTTGACAAACCATACAAAATCCGTAGGTCACCCCGCCCTTACCACCCGCCCAGCCCTGGGGTGAGGAAGAAGAACCAGCATAAACATAAACATAAACTTTGGGAGCTTTGCGCGAGTTTCCTGGATCGCCGCTGGGCCCCCTGGCGGCGCCCCCGACGCCCCCCCTGGCGCGCTCCGCGTGCCACGGAGGGGGGTCTCCAGCGCCGATCCAAGAAATCCACTCGGAACTCCAAGATCTTGTGTTTGTGCCGCTCTTGGTTATTTAATGGAACTCCTCCTCATCACCAAATGCTTATTTGCTGCACGTGTCAAACAGAACCGAATAGTGCATGTTGCGTTTGTTGTGAATTATGTTGTCGTGGACGTATCTGCCAACCCAAGAAAATGTGTGTCAGCCAACGTGTGTGTGTGGGTGTGTGTGTTCCCTACCATGTCCTCATATTCCACTCATTCCACTCCTACGCGTCATCATCATCATCATCATCATCATCATCATCATCATCATCATCATCATCAACATCATCAGCATCATCATCATCATCATCAGCAGCATAATAAGCATCATCATCATCATCATGATCAGCCTCATCATCATCATCATCATCATCATCATCACAAGCATCAGCATCATCAGCAGCAGCACTATCATTATCATCATCATCAGCAGCAGCATCACCATCATCGGCATCATCATCAGCATCATCATCAACATCAGCATCAGCATGATCATCATCATCATCATCAGCATCATCATCAGATTCATCATCGGCAGCATCATCAGCAGCATATCATCATCACTAGCATCATCATCAGCATCATCATCTTCATCAGCATCATCATCAGCATCAGCATCAACATCATCATCATGATCATCGTCATGATCATCAGCATCATCATCATCCTCATCATCATCATCATCATCATCAACATCATCAGCATCATCATCATCATTATCATCATCATCCGCGCTTGGTGCGCCTGATATCATGGTAGGTATGCGTTCGCTTCGGTGACGATGGTTTTCTGACGTGGGGGTAGGTCATTTTTTTGATCGGGCAAAGACCTGCGCGGGCCACCATGCCACTACGCAGCTGTCCAGGCAAGCTTGGACTGCGCACGCTCTTGAGCGCGAGGGTCGCCCGAGAAAATTCTGAATATGGCGATCCTGTCAGCGTGTGGGGCCAAGAGGCGCCCAAGACGGCCAACAAGCGGCCCAACAAAAACGCTACTGTCACACCGCTGGAAGCACTCGGCATCTCACAGGTCGTCCTCGCAGTGGGTCTTGATGGTCACGTCCGAGGTCGCGTACGTCACGCACGTGAGGCAGAAGCCCTCCCCCGTCTGGTCCTCGTCCAGGAAGGCCTGGTCCGACTGGTCGATCTCGCCGGACAGCACCTTGCCCGCGCAGCTCGAGCACGAGCCCGCGCGGCAGGAGTAGGGCAACTCGAGGCCCTCCTCCTCGGCCTGGTCCAGGATGTACACGTCCTCCGGGCACTCGAACTCCTGGGTGCCGTCCGGCGTCTCCAGCGTTACCTTGAAGTGCGCGGCGACGCCCTGGCGCGCCGGGACGGTGCTCAGGACGGCCGGGGCAGCGCCGGAGGCCAGGGCGCGGTCGCCGCCCGCCACGGGCCTGCACTGGCGGTGGACCGACTGCGTGAGGCCGACCTCTGGCGCAGCGAAAGCCTGGCTCGGGCTCGGGGCGAGCAGGCCGCGCAGCGCCAGAAGGCACACGGCAGCCACGACGGCCGTCGGGAGCACGCTGGAGCGGAGGGCCATGGTACCTTTGGTGGGTGCCTGGAGAGCAGCTGGGGCGAAGATATGGCCGAGAAAGCTTGAGCCAAAATGGTTACGGTGACGTGGGGTATGTTATGGATGTTTGGTATTGCGCGTGCTGTTGGCGTGTGCTGTTGAATGTTGTGAGGCCGCGCAGCATGTGAAAAGTCACGGTATACACCAAGCCTTCTTTGTTTGTGAACGGATAAGTGTATGTGCGTCTGTGTGTTTGCGTCGAACGCTAGCTCGGCATAGCCTGTACACCTGTTATGCCCGCCTGGAAAATAGCTGTGCGTGCTCGATACTCCTGCCATGTAATGATATACGTGTCTGGCCTTGAAGTGCGATGCACACCCACATATGAATATGTGCGTGTGTCTGTACATTTTACAAATATATTCACAACGCAATGCACGCGCGATATTCACACGTGGCTGTGGTATGAAAGCGTGGTGTGTATACGCGCGTTGGTATATCGACTATCCATGCCGTGTGTTTATGACTGTGATCAAAAAGGCTGGGGTATACGAATTGACCATGTCTGCTGGTTATGGATGTGTCTTGCGAGTGCGTGAGGTGATCCTCATTTTCGTTTTGCAGTTACGTATGGTATTGCAACTGCTGTACGCGTGTATGTGCAGATGTGCTGACTTTATGCACAATCCACAATCATGTATGTGCGTTATGCATGCTAGTGTTCGAGGCTCTTAAGATTGTATGGTAGGCGAGCCATGCTTGTATGTATGCATGTTGTCTACATCTGCTCGATGTATGATAGATATCATCTTCGCCACGTGTGTCAACGTGCTGATCGAGCATGTTACGAATGTCTGCTAGTCCTTCAAATGAACATATCGTTGGTTCTGCCGTCATTTGTCGAAGACGCGAGGCAAGATACTACGGATGAAAAAAGACTATTGGGGTCTTGCGGCCGCGGCAGTCCAAAGTCGCCATCTGTCAAGGTCGCGAGGCGGGACACCAGGAATCGCGGGGCACTCTTGTAGCCTTGACGGCCGCGAGATGCGGGGCGGGCGAAACGGGACAGGCGCTTTCTTTTCACACCCAGCAACCCCGACCTGCTGCGCGGAGACATCAGAAAAAACAGCACGAAGCAGCGGCTGCAAAGCAGCACGCGGCGGACCGCCTCGTTCAGACTCTTTATCGTGTTCGACAACATGAACGCGTCGTCCGTGAAGCATCGGCACGCTAATATCGTCGCGACGCGCCAGTGGTACCCCAGCATTCGATTGCTGTCGGCCTCGGCTCGGGGCGACGGAGCAGAGGATCCAGCAGCGGAAATGAATGCTGCTGGCAAGCGGGCATCATTATAGTCCTCGAGCGGTAACACGCCAGCAAGAATCGTATGGAAAATTACGGACAACCACGCACCACCGGACAGAGTCAGACGACGAGACGAACGGACAAACAGACAGACAGACAGCCAGCAGGTATGTAAGAGCGTCCTGCGAAACGTATGCCAATGATAGTAGCTATGAAATGCAACAAACGGCAAACAAAGACGATCATTGACTAAAATGCAACCACACCGGCTACGTGCGCATAGACACACTCCAATATGACAGAAAGAAACGGAAAAAGACAAAACGCATTCACTCGGGCACAAGAAAGAACAGAAAGGCACAGAACAAGCTTGCAAACCGCAGGTTGCTATCGTCTACCACACACACACAAACATACACTGAAAACACACAAGGCTCATCTAAAGACCACGCGAACGTACAAAAGCCCGTAAGACCACAACTGAAGGACGCACCCAGAAAACGCTACAACGACAATGCAAAACAACATGCATTCGACTATATGTCGTAGGAGTGGACCTATACCGAACCGACTAACATATGAAACTCGCAGACAAAACATCACACTAACATCATGAACACAAGCGATGGCACTGACCATGCAATAGCACAGCCGAAAAACATCGAATTGATCCAAGACCTGCTCATGCAAACCAAATATACATCTGAACATGCGCATCCGTTCACACGAAACAGCATACGCAGCTTACTCAACTCAAAAACAACTGCGAGAGCTCCTCCAGGGGAGTCGGACCAAAGAATCGTTTGGACCAGCATTGGGAACACTCGCGCGCGAGTGCAAACCAGACCCCGTCATCAAACGCCCAGGCGCCCGGCGTGCCGGAAGACATTCTGCCCGAAGGACCGAAACCAGACACTCGAGAGGAGGATGCAACCGTGCTTCTTCTGGATTGTCCGCGCACCGTGCTGTTCGGAATAATCTCACGCACCACTGCCAGAGCCTCCTCCCCTCCCCTTCCCCATCCTCATCTTCCTCCTCCTCCTCGGCGGCGCCACAATGGACCCGGGCCCACGGCGAAGCAGTAGCGATCATGCAACATGGGCCGGCGGAATGAGCGAAGCGATTGAATAATCTCACATACGACTGCCAGAGCGAGGAAGGGTGTTCGCACAGCAGCACAAGCACCAAGAAGAACTCACAACGGAAATCACTCGGGTTGCACTGAGACAAGACGAGATGCAAATGGTGAGTGACATGGCGTGGGCATAGGAGCAACACGTGACATAAACAGCAATCGATAGGGTGCTATCTCTGGAAGAGGCGCATGCCTCTGCAAACCAATCCTTGAAATAAGTCATCACATAATCATAAACCATAACCACATCTTGCCGCGAATCCAAGTCCTTGGGCATGCAGTGGACAGCGCACAGGCGGGATGATATGCAACTGCTGCACTCCACATCCCGCCCGAACCAAGTGCGGCAATGCCACCCCTCCTGGTAGGAGGATATGCTATGCGGGTCTCGGCTACAAAAATGGTTCTAGGTAAGAGCGACCTCTGGTGCGCGGCTCCTGGAGGGCGCAGGGAAACCCAGGCGCGCAAGCAGTTGCTATCGCATTCAGCGATCGGGAGACACCGGTGGGCCCGCACCGAAGGTCATCCCAGCGACTCTAACGTGTAGTCAAGCGTCGTTACCTGTATCTGCTTTTGAGGCCGAGCTGCTGGAAGCTATCGCTGGCGGCTGGGCCCCGTTCATTTACACACGTCAGCTCTCGAGCGAGTGCCCCAGACGCATCCCACCGTCCAGGACCACGCTGGCAGACTACCAAAGCAATAAGAGCAAGAAAAGAGGAGAGACGTCCTCCGCGACGAAGTCGTAGCCTGTCGCGTCCTGTAAAACAAGAAAAGCGTATTCCCGATTCTCTTCGTTCAAGTACTCCTGGGGAGAAACGGTGTATACAACTCGCAGAACTGCAGCAATGGCATAACACTATTGTGTAGTGGCGTGCCCTCATGCCACTTCTATACCCGAGGAACATAGTATGAATGCCTTGCTGATCAAAAGTACATATCTGAATGAAGCGTTAGTAGCACGATCCTAAAACAACTCGGATGATACCCTGAGTATCCTAAAACTTAGGCCATGAAGCCATTGGGATTTCCAAGTGAGAGTCCTGAGTCTTGGACATCAGAGCATAGATCCGCCGGCCCCCTTGTGGGGCCACCAGGCTGCGAGGCCCGTGATTCGCAGTTTCCTGTACCAGTTGTAGTTTCTAGTTTCCAGTGTTACAGTTCTGCTTCTTGCTGGTTACTGTAACTAGTTGACTTCTTGCTGGTTACTGTAACTAGTTGATTGACCGCGCGAGGGGGGGGGAGGCCCAAACAAGACTTTTAGCGTCTCCTGGGCGCGTTGTCTGAATTGCTGGGGGGGCTCGAAATCGACACCCCTCACGCAGATCCGCGGGGTCAGGGTCCAAAAACACATGGGATTTGCCACATTTCTGAAATTCGGTGCCACCCCTCACGCAGATCCGCGGGGTCAGGGTCCAAAAACACACGGGATTTGCCACATTTCTGAAATTCGGCGCCACCCCTCACGCAGATCCGCGGGGTCAGGGTCCAAAAACACAGGAGATTTGCCACATGTCTGAAATTCGGTGCCACCCCTCACGCAGATCAGCGGGGTCAGGATCCAAAAACACAGGAGATTTGCCACATTTCTGAAATTCGGTGCCACCCCTCACGCAGATCCGCGGGGTCAGGATCCAAAAACATAAGGGATTTGCCACATTTCTGAAATTAGGTGCCACCCCTGACGGAGATCCGCGGGGTCAGGGTCCAAAAACGCATGTGATTTGCCACATTTCTGAAATTCGGCGCCACCCCTTACGCAGATCCGCGGGGTCAGGGTCCAAAAACACAGGGGATTTGCCACATTTCTGAAATTCGGTGCCACCCTTCGCGCACATCCATCGCAAGGCGTGGTAACCCAAACTGCGAGAACTCCCTCGGCCCTTTAATCGCAAGGTGTGGTAACCAAGCCCGTAAACCATACACGTCTTACCAATCGCCAGGTGTGGTAACCCTCTTGTGATCAGTTGGTTTTGCTGATTGCGAATCGGCTTCGCATGAAGTTTCGATACTGCTTCACGACAGTGCCAAGGCCTCATGACTTAGCTCTTCCATGGCCCATTCTCCGAGAGAGGGGGCCGGCGGCAGGGGGCGAAGCCCTTACGGATAAAAAACCGCGGACCCTCTATCTCTGGAAGCTATTGGCGGCTTCCGCTTTAGACCGCATGATTGCGTGATGGTCATGTCTAGGATCACATGTATGCCAAAATATTGAGCCCGTTGGCCCGTCTCAGCGCCATTTTGCGAGCCTTTCGGGCGCTCTCGAGGGTCCTGAGGGCAGCTTTGGGCTTTCTGGGGGGGGGCCTTCGGGGCCATCTTCGGCGCCTCTTGGGCCGCAAACGAGCTTCAGAGGCCTCCGTGTTGGCACATGATGGCCGTGGGCGGTCCCAAGAAAAGCTCTGACACAACTTGGGAGTCCGCCTCGCGCTCCCGCCCCAGGCAGCCCAGAAAGGACGCACGAGCCCAGCCACGCACACGAACATGCCCCCCAGTGCGCGAGGCCGCCCCCATGGCACGAACGCTTGGGCAATACGATCTGACGAAACCATGTGAGTGCATGTGCGTGTACTTGACGAGCATCGTCAGGGGGGGACCAGCTCAGGGGGGTAAACATCGAGCTGCCATCGGCGATACATCGCCGATAGATCTGCGAGAATGCCCCGATTGCAGAACCCCACGCTCCTGGGCGGGGTGGACTACCGGGCCCTTCCTTATCCGCGATCAGTAGGCGATTGGGTGCCGATGCATCCCCTCATCCTACCCGCCCGTAACATTGCCCCTGAGCGGGTCTTCGCTTCGTTCCTGCATGGCCCAAGACCCCCCAACAGGGCTCAGAGGAAGCATCCGCCCCAAAGTACCCAAGGAGGACCCCAGGACGGCCCCAAGGAGGCTTGCCTCCAACTCTTCTGGCCCCACGCGCATCGAGGCGAAAACAGGAACTCGCGCGGGCTCAATGCATGAAGCCCTGAGCAGGAAGCGCCAAAAAACAATGTTGAGCGCGCGCCCGCAGAACAGCAGACGCAGCACCGCTGGCCGCTGGTACTTCCTCGCGCACCGGATGCCGGCCTCGCCCGAATCGCCACTGCAAACGATCCTGGCACATGCAAGACCAAGGGGGCGAATATAACCTTATCATGAATAAACTCTGGCACGCGTGGGGCGACATCGAAATGAGCCACAGGGAACCTTCTGAACTTCGTGGCTCTGCGCGCGAGCGCTTGGAACTTCGTCCGGAAAGTGGGAATGTCAATCATATAGTTGTGTATGCGTCTGTTCTTCAGCTCGAAAGACCGCCAAAACAATGCTCCCGAACCCATAGTGGGGTCCATCCTGGTATGCTCATCATCCTAGATCGATGATTGACGGTCCCGAAACCGAAAAAAAATGGGGAAACCGACGTCAATGAACAATTTTGTAGGGCCTGGCGCTCCTTCATCCATCTGTAGAGCAGCTTGATCGCTTTGGAAAATTTCGCCCTGCTGGAAAGAGCGCCGCCCACACGCTGAAGGCCCTGCAGGACGTCGACGGCAATCCTGCATCGGCAGAGGCCTCCCACATGGGTTCGGAATCGATAGGGTCGGAGGATATCGCCGCATCGCCGATACATCGGCGATACATCGCCGATGCATCGGCGATGCATCGGCGATGCATCGTCAACGTCGGCGGTGATGCATCGGCGACGTCGGCGTGGAGAACATTGGGCTCCGCGTCGAGACGCATCGCCGACGCATCGGCAATGCAGCGCGATCCTGCGACCCCGTCTACTCGGACCCCATCGAGGAGGCCCAGAATCGGGGGGGCCAGGGCGGCTCACACCACTACCGACGACGGCACACGCGGGAGGAGGGTCGACGATCGACACCCGAATAGGTCTTCCCTCGTTGGAGCCTATGGAGGCCCGCTTCGGGCCCCCCTGGACTGAAAAAACAACGACGCGGCATGACAGCGGTTCAAGATGGGCGGAAGGGTCTGGAGAACGATGCTGACCAGAGCCTGGTCGGGAGGGGGGAGGAGGACGAGGAGGACGAGGAGGGGAAGGAGGATCAAGGGTCGGGGGACATCTGGGGCCCTCTTGACCCTTCTGGGACGCCCTCGTGGCCACAATTGGATTCGCTTCGACATGCTTGTCGGAACGAGCACAAGGACAGGTCCTGGGTTGACTTCACGAGCTGAGGGGGGGAGGAGAACCGGAGGGCTGCGGGAGGGCTAGAGATGAGCTCCTCCTCCTCCTCCTCCTCCTCCTCCTCCTCCTCCTCCTCCTCCTCCTCCTCCTCCTCCTCCTCCTCTGGTCCCTCTGGCTCCTGAAAAGAAGCGGTCAGCATTGCCAAGCACCCTTCACCGCTTGCAGCGGGACCCGCCCCGAATCAGAAGCCGCGCTCCACGACTCAGAACATGAATATGGAGAGCCCCATCCAGCGCCGAGACAATCCGGCGGCCGTCCGGCCGAAATGAGCGAGGCCTCAAGCCTCAGTCGAACCACGCGTCGAGCACCTCGAGGTCGTCTCCGCAGACCACCGCCCGAGCGTAGAAGGACGAGTCCGAATCCGCCAGGGCCCCAGCCATCTCGAAGAACACGTCCCTGCTGCTCTCGACGGCCGCTCCGTCCAGGAGACCAGCACGAATGGCGGCCGCGACATCTGCGGCGAACTGCACCAGCTCGGTGACGCCATCGGACGCGCTGGCGCCCACCGATTCGCAACGAAATGTGGCCCCTTCGCCCTCGTGCGTCGCCGTGCCACCGCATCCGTGCTGCACCTTGCCCTTGCTCTTGTTCTTGCGCTTGCCCTTGCCCTGGGCGGGGACGAAAGACTGCACAGGAAAAGCCTTCCCGTCGTGCCCGTCCGCATCCTGACTTACAAAATCACGCTGCCCAGCCGCGCTACCTGCCACCTTGCGGGTGCACTCGCGAGGGCCTCCACCACTGTCAATGCGCTGCCGAGCCGTGCAACCTCCCACCTCGCGGGTGCACTCGCGAGGGCCACCAGCAGCTTCACCACCAAGTAATTCCCCAGCGTCGGCGCGCTGCCCAGCCGTGCGATCCTCCACAATGTGGGTGCACCCGCGAGGGCCCCCAGCAGCTCCACCACCAGGTACGCCAGCAACTCCCTCGTCGAGCTCGTCCTCGGGCCCGAAGTCCTGGTCCGCCCAGCGCCTTCGGCCCCCGTTGGCGCACCCGTCGACCTTATATCCTACGCGAGTTGAAGTCGTGAAGCGTCGCCAGCACCATCACCCCGAACAACTTCAGCCCCAGCACTTCGAACATGTCCAACCTTCTTCGAGTACCGGTGCTCCCGTGACGCCGTTGCGCACTGCGTCACAGCCCTTGGAGCCGATCTCCTCTCCAGTCTGCTTGCCGTCCCCCGCGTCGCTGCGCACGGCGTCGCTGCGCTCGAGCGAGGGCAGGCGGTCGGCGCAGCACCCGACGTCGTCGACGCTCTGCTCCTCCATCTGTCCGCCATTGAACCCAGGTCCGAGTTGAAGTCCTGGAGCCTCGCCAGCACCATCACCCCGAACAACTTCAGCAGCAACATCTCGAACGTGTCCAGCCTTTATCGAGTCAACGTCGCCCACCGTGACATCGTTGCGCACGGCGTCGCAGCCAATGGAGCCGATCTCCAAGCCCGCGTCGCCCACCATGCCCTTGATATCCTGCGCGTGCTCGGGCGGCAGCAAGCGGCTGGCGCAGCACTCGAGGTCGTCGAAACGCTGCTCACCCATCTGTCCGCCCTTGAGCTAGTGTCCGAGTTGAAATCCTGGGTCCTCGCCAGCACCATCACCCCGAACAACTTCAGCACCAACACCTCGAACATGTCCAGCCTTTATCGAGTCCACGTCGCTCACCGTGACCTCGTTGCGCACGGCGTCGCAGCCCATGGAGCCGATCTCCAAGCCCGCGTCGCCCACCATGCACTCTCCCACGGACTTGTCGCACATCGTGTCGCCGCCCGTGGGCCCGAACAACCCGCCGAGGACGCCGAGCTCCAAGCCCGTGTCGCACACCGAGCCATGGGCGCCGTCCACGGAGTCGGCGTCGCCGATGTCGTGCTTTGCCGTCGCAAACGCGCTCCTGACGACCTTGTCCACCAGCTGCTCGCCCAGCGTGGCCGAGTGGATCTCGAGGACCGTGCCCATCGAGCGGAAGATCAGCAGAGGCGTCGCCATGTGCGGGTCCAGCAAACACCAATGACCTCACACCGCCGTAGCCCACTTGGCTGGCCCCCACATACGGGCCGTTCTGAAGTACGTATGTGGAAGTTCCTGCCCGACCCCTCGCCCGCAGGCTTGGGAACCATGACGGCTCTCCACCTCCTCCTCCTACTACTCCTCCTACTCCTGCTCCTCCTCATTCCTCATTCCTCATTCCTCATTCCTCTTCCTCCTCCTCCTCCTCCTCCTCCTCCTCCTCCTCCTCCTCCTCCTCATCCTCCTCCACCTACTTCCCCTCCATCGTTGTTTCTTTTGCTGCTCCTCCTCCAAAGGCTCCCGACGGGCTGCGTCCCCGAGGAAACGCAACGATGCCTGGAGACACAAACGACGGCACCACAAAAGTTAAACGGTCCAAAGGGGTGGTGGTCAAAAATGTGATATGGGTGTGACGCTCAACCTGTGGCATCAGTGGGACATCGTGTCAGGGGGGATGCAGGGGTGGTGGGGGAGGGAAGGGAAAACGAGGGAGGGAATAGCAGTGGAGAATGGAAAGAGGGGCAAAGGGATTGAGGGGGAGTTGCGGCAGGCCGGGAGGGAGGGAGAAGAATTTTAGGAAACACCTTCTGGGCGGTCTGCGTGTCGACATGGACAATGCCTCGAAGGGTTCGCATGACTCGAGAGGCGCAGGCAGCCACGCATCTGAACGTGCCTTCACACCCTCGGTGATCTCTCGATGTCTGACAGAGAGGCTGGGAAAAGTGGGCATTGGAAATTCCATGTAGTCAGGGCTCGAAAAACTGGCAATGGCCGAAACGAGCACGAGGCAGACGAGATGAGGTCGCTGGGGCTGAAAAAACTGGGGAGAGAGCTGGCCGGGGCTGGAAACAGAGGAAGGGCCAGCCCCAACCCCTTTGCCAGCTTCCCTTTCGAGGAGGAGGATGCTGGACGGGCACGCGACGCGAGGGCACGCTGCGCCAGCAGCGGCGAGGCCAAGCCAGGCACCCTGGGCAGTCAGCCGCCCTGGTCGACCCCGAGACACCTCCTGGGTGCGGTCGGGCTGCTGAGACCCGCCGACCCTGTCGGCGTGTGACAGGGGCGGTTCCGTCGCCATCGCCGTCGCTGCCGCCGTCGCGTCGCCGCCGCCATCACGTCCCCGCCTTCCTCGGGTCGGGCGAAAGGGGGGGATAGCAAAGGGGGGGTTTGAGAATCAGCTCACGTAGCTGATTTTCCCGGCGCCTCCCGGCGCCAGAAGCGGCTATGTATCGAGGAATGGGCCCCTCGGTGAGGCCGAAACCAGCTGCATGCAGCAGATTTCGTAACCCCCCCTTTCCCAATCCCACCCTTTTGCCCGGCCCGACTTCCCCTGAGTCCGTCGCCGCCCCCCCCCTTTCCTTGAGCCCGCGTCTTCAAGCACGTCAGCCAAAGCGAAATACACCAGCCCACCCACAGCGAAGTTAAGCAACGTTGTCGTTGAGTCGAAGGGGAGCCCCTTCCCTTGGATCCCTTCCCCGTGGAGGGGGGGGGTCCCAGGGGGGGTCCAAGAGGGTGGTCCGGGGTCAGAATACCACCCTCCTGGGGCCCTTGATCCGCCCTCTCCCTCCCATTTCCGTCGAGGGCCGAGGCCTCCAGGGTCGGCGGCACCGGCCGTAAGGCCTCAGCAATACTAAGCAACGCTAGATTTAGGACCGAAAGAGCCTGGGTGCACGACGACGGCGAGATGCACAACCGCGGAACGAACTGAGGAACAGCGAGCCCCTTCCGAACCCAAAGCGGTCCTTACTCTAGCGTCTTGGCTCTATCCTGGCCATGTTCCTCAAGCCCCGTCCAGCCGGGGCAAGGGGCTCCTGGCTCCTGGCTCCTCCCTCATGGACCGAGGGGAAGCGCTCGGGGGGGACCGGCTCAGGAGGGGGGGGGGGGGGGGGGGGAAACCTCGAGCTGGATTCGGCGATACATCGCCGATGGATCGGCGACAGGCCTCCAATAGCGAATCCGCACACTCATGGGCGGGGTGGGCTAGCAGGCCCCCATCGGCGATCAATGGGCGAATGGGGGTCGAAGCATCCCCAGCTGAGCCTGTCTCCTCCTAACGCCGCCCCTGATCCCCCCTCCTGGACACCCAGAAGACTGCCCCACCAGCAGGCCGTGCAGGGGCCCCAGCCCGGCAAGAGCGGCGAGGGGAACTCCCAAACAAGCCCCCCCCTTGCCATCGCTCGGACGTCCATTCCCTGTGCATTTTCCGGCCTCGTGCGTTTATTTTTTCCGCTGGGTGGTCCAGGATGCTCCTCGACGGTCCTCGCAGAGAAGAAGTGCACACGTCCGAGCGATACCGAGCCCTTGCCCGAACAGCGGGAGGGGACCTCCCGTCGCGCCCGCTTGCCCAAGCCTTCCACGCCGAGGGAGCAGGGAGGGGGGGGGACGAGGGAAAATGGCGGCGCCCGCAAGGGGGCGGCGCGATGGGGGAGGGCTTCTGAGAGGGCGGCGGGCGTTCTGGGAGGGCAGGGGGGGGGCGTCTCAGAAGCCCTCCCGGCCTCTTGGGATCCTTCTTGGAATCACCCCAGCCGGCCTTGGGGGCCCGAGAAGTGCACCTGCCGCTGGCCCGAGGGAGGGGGCCGTGTGTGAGGACCGAGGAGTGCACCAGCCCATCCAGACACGACGCCCTTCTGAACAGGGCCCTCGCCTTCTAAGCAGCCCCTGGCCTGCTCATCGGGCCGCCCCCCTCGCACCACCCAGTCCTGCGCGGCGCCGAAGACAGAGGGGAAACTGGCTCGCGGGGGGCGGGGGGGGGGAATGCCCTGGAATCGGAGATGCCACACCGATAGGCTTTAAGTCGGGCCTGTCCCCCCACGGGGGGATTTTCGACGAAACATAAAAAATACCCCAAACATAATCAAAAAATTGTCCAAAAATAGTCTCGGGACTATTTTTTGAATGTTTGTTTGCCTTTAGGGGGTATTTTTTAGGTATTTATAATTGTTCGTCGAAAGTCCCCCAATAGGGGGGGACAGGCCCGACACAACGATAGGTCGGCGACGCCTCGGCGAAACGTCCTCAGGGCAACGACAGGCGACGAGAATCCGCGGTCGGAGGTCGACGCTCCCCGCCTCCCGGGCCACTCCTCCCCGGACGGCGGCGCCGGAGATGCAGGAGGGAGGAGCGGAGAACACGGGAGGGGGACGGGGGTGCACGGGGCCTCCTCGGGAGCCCCGGGGGCGTCCGCTTGGGGACCGAAGGGGCTCTCACAGAGCAAATAAAAAGCATTTGCTGTTGGGCAGTGTACCCATTCTTTCCGTACCCATCTCGGGCGTCCAAAACGAGAGTCGGGGGTACATGGGGCTTCCTCGGGAGCCCTGGGGGCGTCCGCCTGGGACCGAGGGGCTCTCATAGAACAAGCAAACAGCCGTTTCGCGCTGCGCGCGGACTTCGTGGATCTGCGCTAGACCCCCTCCCTGGCGCGCGGAGCGCGCCAGCGGGGGCGCCGGAGGCGCCGCTGGGGGGGGCCCGGCGCGGATCCAAGAAATCCGCGCGAAGCGCCAGAGGTTTATGCTTATGGCGTTTTGTCTTATTCGATCTCAGACACCATGACCACCAAGGCCGCTGCGCGAATCGACAAGCAGGCGCGTGGGCAAGCGAATGACGCGCCCTCTCCTGCGCCCGTGCTGCAAGACCAGTCGGCATCAAATCGGAAAATCAGATCGACTTGGAATGTGCATCAGATCGAGCCGCATCGGCACGGAGTCAGAATCGAATCGGCTCGGCTGCGCCAGGATGCACATCAACGCCATGCAAGCAACGGGCAACGTCGGACTGTCGGAGTGTCAGAATCGAATCGGATCGGGCCCGGCGCGATCGATGCCGAGTGGGCTCGATCGGATCGAAACTGACCCTGCGCTGCGACTAGGCGCGCGCCCGGGGGAGGGCGGGGGCTCTTCGGCTTCACTCTTCGCCGCCTGTGGTGCCGGTGCCGTCTTCGACGCGGTCTGGCCACCCTTTCCTGGGGCCGCGGGCGGGGCTGGGACGGCCCCTCTGCTGCTGGAGCCTCTCTCCGGGCGGTGCGATGCTCTGGCGGCGCGCAGAAGCGAGGCGGCGCGAGGAGGTCGGCCCTCCAAGAAGCCCATTGGGTAGCTCCTGCGGAGGCAGGAGGCTGGGGCAGCCCTCCCGGCTCCCACGCCCCCGGATCCGGGGCCTCCAGGCCCTCCTCGGAAGGCCCCCCCCCCTGCCTCTTGAGAGCGCCCCCGGCTCCTCACAAGCCCGCCCTCCTCGCGCCTCTCCCGCGCGCGCGCCACGGGGATGGCGTGGGGCCCGGGGTTCCTGTGCGCGCGCTTCCTCACGTCAGAGCGCGCGCCTCAGGGCCCGTAGGGTCATCCTGCTACCCCGGGGGGTGCTGCACAGGGAGCGAGGGGCGCCTTCTGGCCCCTGCGGGCCTCGGCCGCGAACGGGTCCCCCGACCTGTAGGCCCGGGGGCGGGCCCGCAAAAGGAAGCTCCCTCCCGAGCTCGACCTCTTTTGACTGCACCCGTGCGCTGCAGGGCATCGGGCAGCACATCCAAACGGGCACGCGCCGACGCAGCGGGCGACGAAGCTCTCCTGTCTGCTTCCGGCGCCGCGGTGCGTCCGCGCCTGGGGGCAGGGCCAGAAGACAGACGCGTGGGCACGCCCGTGGGTGCCGGAGGCGCGCCACAGGGGGGAAATGGGCGGGGGTATTGAGCAGGGACCGACCGTCCGGGCATTCTTGTAGTCCTACCACGAAATGTTCTTAGAACCCAAAAATGTTCGAAGAACAAAAACAAAAATCTTAGAACATAAACACGATATGGTAAAACAAGACAGTCCCGGCCAGGAATGTTCTAAGACCATTTCGTGGAATACACAAAAGGTTCTCATAACATTGTTTGGTATGGCTATAGGCGAGCCAGGACGCTTCGCCACTGCTTGAGGTTAGGCCTTCGGATCCGAAAGCGTCCCAGAGTATCGTTGGCCTCCCGAGCCTTCTCAGGAGGCCCGCCCCCTCTGGGCGCG